TCTCAACCAACATCTGTTCAACCCCTCAACATCCTACTATGCTTACCGTGCAATAACATGATGGCGAATAGTAATATGGGGAACCCTCACTATGAGAATCCCCTCCACCACCTTCCAATCCAAAAATTAAAAAAAGTTCTGAACAAAGGAGAAGGGTTCGGTAAGTCCACAGCATAGAGATAGTCCAATTATGTTGAATCCTCGTGGCAATGAATTCATTCTTATGCCCGATAGAGCGCAATGATTTTTGACTATAGTTGACCCCAACTTTGTTTGGTATTGACACGCTGTTAATAGGTTGAATTTATTTAATATCTTTGATAGCTGGGCAATCCAAAGTAGTCAATCACTTTGGCCACATCATGCTACGATATTGCTGCTCCCCCTTGCAACATCCTAGTGTGCATGTGTTAAGTGTCACACTTTAAGGATGCAAGGGGTCCCAGCAATCTCAAAGGGATATTTGGATGGCTATGCAGCCGTAACCTGCACAACTTAAAGCCTAACAACAGTTATTGGTGAAGCAATTGCTCTCTCAGTTGCAATTTTTGTCCTCCAGTAATGTACTGCGCCAAAGTAGCATTACAAGGTCCATGGGCCTTTCCACCAAGGGTTAAGGTGTGGTTTCTCTGAACCAACATCCAGTTCAAATATATATCCCCACTGATCTAGTTCTCTTATGTGCTTTGATCATTTCTCCAACTATATAAGTAGAACTTGGTCTATTGCTTCTTCTTTTTTGGAATTCTCATATTTTCTTATAATAGTCCAACATATGCAGCAGAAACTACAAGATAATCAGTTCTTAGTTATAAAGAATCTATCTTTCTAAACCAAAGTCAAGACATAAAGTCTCAGTTTAAGTTAAAAGGGATAATAAAGCAGTACCAGCTAGAATTTAGTTCCACAATACACCTTACAGATCATTAAGAGGATTGTACCAAGGACAGTGTTAGACAAAAGGAATAGTGGAGCATAATCCCAGCTTGCATATGGTGGATTTTCTGGAGGAAAGAAATGCAAGATGGTTTGAAGATAGATGCAACTCAATCAAGAGGACAAAAATGAATTGTATATTGTTATTTCATTTCTGGTGTAATGAAACTATGTAAATGAAGCAGGTCTAGATAGAATCCTTGTAAAAGGAATCCTTGTGAGAAGAATAAGGATGATTTTTGCTCTTTTTGAGCCTGTAAATATGGCTACCAACAGTTTTTGGTGTCGATGATTTATACAAGGCCGCCTTTCTCAAAAATAAAAAAGGATTATACCAAGGAAAATGAAGAAGAATGACTTGACAAAGAGGGTGTTGATGCTGTCATTTTTGAGTTCAAGAGCACTGCACATCAAGGAAAAGTTCAATATGAAGAATCATAAGAACACAAGAAATAAGCATTCATCAAGGAGAGGGAACTTACCCACAAAAATTTGAAGAAAAGCAAAATGCAGACATGCAGCATTGAAATGATGGACATACAATATGATCCCTCTGTCTTAACCGTTCTGCATTTTATATTTGTCTATTGGTTTAACCCAAAAAGTAGTTCTGCTTTCTTAAAAGGGCCTTTGATGCTTCCTCCGTATCCTCTTCAACACTTCCTCCAGTATTGTACAATAAAAAGGGTACCATCATAATACCCAAATTCTTCAAAACATTAATTTTGTCTTTACTTTTGCACTCAACTTCTACTTGAACAGAATAAATTTGTGTCCAAACCAATAAAAGAAGTGCAGCCCAGTGCACGAAGTATCCCGCATTACGCAGGGTCTGAGGGAAGGGCCACACCCCAAGGTGTGATGTAGGCAGCCTACCCTGATGCAAGTGAATAGCTGATTCCACGGCTCGAAACCGAGAAATATTTTGTAATGTGCTGGGAACCCAAGCTATACCAGCGGCATATCCATCCCAAGCTAAATTCTTTAATGGAAGAGATTCAGCTTGGAGTTTAAATTCCTATAAATCCCAAGCTATATTTTGTTGCAGTGCTAGTAGCTAAATGCACCTCACAGAGCATTCAAGGATTGTACCGATGAAAACGAAGAAGATTGAATTGACAAAAGGGGTGGAGATTCCGTCACTTTTGAGTTCAAGATCACTACACAAGGAAAAGTTCAATATAAAGAATTGCAAGACCTCGAGAAAAAAGGGTTCTACTTATCTAAAAAGAACAAAAAGACTCTATTACCTCATCAAGAAGGGACAACAGAGCCACAAAAACTTGAGGAAATGCAAAATGTGGACATGCATTATTGAAATTATGCGTGGGACAATATAATCCCTTTGTCCCAACTTAACTGTCAGGTATTCTATTTTGGAATATCCCAACATTGTGTCTGCCTTATTAACATGGTCTTTGAAGTTTTCTCCATACTAATGTTAACTTTATCTTCATTGTTGGACTCCATTTCTTCTAAATACAGATGAATCGGGTTATCCAGATTTGGGACGAAGAGATAATATTTTGTTGCGGTGATAGGAAAGCTAGCTATCCCAGCAGCATAACCAGCCTAAACAGAATTCCTTAATGGAAGAAGAAGTGACAGCTAGAACACACATCTTTTAAATGGATTCTTCACTTTAGAGAATTAATCAATATAAGATGAGGAATAAAAGATGTTGGGCATAATGAAAGAGCATATAGTACTTCTGGTACCAGTATTACACAATAGATCGATAAGCATTGGCACGAGCAGCCAACTTATCCTACATGCCCAAGGATTACAAGTCCATACTGTTCCAGAAAAGGGGCAATCACGGTATAAAGCCAGACTACCTCATAAACTAGTTCGGCTAGAACTTGGAACTAGAGAAAGCTTCAGCAAACAGAGTCACCAGACAATTGGACATGAAGAATGGAGTGAGAACACAACCCAAAAGGAAAAATGACAGTAGTCTGGACCAGCAACATGTCGCCTCCAGCATATTATTTCAAAAGGATCATCCTTTGAATTCACACGGATTGGCAAGAATTGTATATCGCAGAACATATGATGGAGTTGGAACACTAACCTCTCTTACTGCCGTAACTTCTGCATGAGCTGTAGGGTCAGTATACTGCAAAACCATGTTGTGGCAGCTAACAACTACTTCATCATTGCGAACAACGACAGCACCAAAAGGGCCTCCATGTCCACATTCTACACCCTTGTAAGCTTCTTCGACTGCTTGTGTCAAGAATTTGTGGTCTCTATCCTGTACAGCTGGTGAAAATTCCAGAGGACAAAGAGAATTTTAACGTTCATTCATTTTCTTTTTCTTTTTTGAAGAGTTTAACATTTACTCAAATAAACATTACTGATACACTTTTTTTCCCAAAAGGCAGGCAAATATTAGATCATTCACATTCTTCCTACTATAACTGGATGAATAGCTACAACAAGACTTCGAAAAGTAATCATCCAGGGCAGTACAATATACAAGCAAGAAACAAAATAAAGTAAAATCAAAGGGCCATCTAGTTACATGTATGTCCATCTGATTATAAGTCAATATACAAAGATAAATGCAAGTAAAACATTTTACAGTGTGCAGATACATATAGTTTGAATCAAGGTCCTTTCAGTGCATGTATGTAATGAAGAAACACTAGACAAACAATTTTTATAAGTTTTATGTTAGTAAAATGTGTAAGAAACTGAGAGCAAAGACTAACAGGAATAGAAGAATTTTAGATTACCTTCTTGGTGACCAGCAAATGCAGATGCTACCGAGATAGTTCCATCCTTCGCTTCAACAACTGAACAATGACGAAAGGAAGTAAGAAAAGCTATACAACTTGATGAACAAATTTGTAAAACTGAAAATTCAGAACATTCAGCACCAAAATAAGACTGCAGCAAGATGGGGGTCTAAAAATTCTCCACCTTTAGATACAGAAAGACATATACAACAAGCACAAATAAGTAATTGAATAAATAAAAAGGGTGGTAACCAGGATCTCATTTAGTACTCCAATTCGTGATCAAGAAACTGATCATGCTGCAATATAGCTCATAATGCAACACACCTCAGTAAAGCAATATACATACACCATTGCTTGATAAAATAGGAAACAGCACAACATAGTAGCAAAACAAGTTCAAAGTACATAGACCATGGTCCCATGATCATAATTATCTTTAATTTAGGAAGTCAAAACAGTATGAATTCTGTAAATTTGCCAAGTCACAATAAACAAAAGGCATGGATCGCAATTCAACTGGTCGTAACTACAAAACAATGAAGTTTTATTCAGTCAACCCACAAACCCAAAGACCAGATCATGCCCATTGCCCAGATACAATCCAATGAAAGAATTAATCAAACCACACTAAAAAAACTGAATAAAGATCCAAATTTGGCCAAAAAACTGAAGAAGAGACACAATGGGAAAATACAACGAGTCCCCAAATGAATCAAGATTAAACCAAAAAGGGAAAAAACCATTATCAGACTGGATTTTCAAGTCAAGAAAATTCCCAGAAAGATGTACATATCACTTACCATTAGCTTCTTCCATGATGAAATTGAACCTTAGATGCAAAGAAAAGAAATTTGGGCAAAATGGGTTACTGATGGAAAAGAAAAGATTGAGTTAGTTTGGGGGAAGGGAAGAGGGAGAGAAATATATAGATATAGAGATAGGAAATAAACGTGGAAAGTAGGCAAAGTCAAAAATGAACCACGTATTTTTTTCTACTTATAATATAACTCACTGTGTACGTAAGAAAAAAGAGAAAGAGAGATTTAGAGAGAGAGAAAGAGACCTAGTGATTGGCTGAGGATAAAGCAAAGGTAAAAAGGGGTGGAAAATATAGAAGACAAAATAGGATACCGTGACTGGATTCTGTGTACAACTAAAAAGCGGTGGATGTGACCAAATTTTTTCTGGACATTTCCAAAAAGAATAGAAAATTACGCGGGATGATGTTCTTCTTCTTCATTGTCTCCATTGAGCTCAAATGATATCCAGTCGTTCTCAAAATAATAATTATATATATCTTAAAATAATAATTATATATATAATATATTATATAACTACTTTTAAAATAATAATTAAATATTTATACTATATTAAAGTACGAAAACTCTTCGAGGGATGTCGCTCGCCCTTTTTATTCTTTAAAATTAAATTTCATATTAGACAAAATAGTCATTTAAATTATTTTCCTAATATTTTAAACTTTGAAATCAACTAAATTTTAATTATTATATCTTTCCTTATTGAATTAGATCCTATAATTTTAGGAGTTTAAATTCATTTGATAATTTACTTCAAATAAGGAAAAGAACAGTATTATTCATATATTCTACATTAGTCTATGTATACAAGAACTTCCTTTTACGTAGTTACTATAAATCTCGTAACTAAGCATAAAAATAATATGTTTTATAATATTACAACACATATTATATTTATGATATTTGTCTTTATATTTAATATTATTACTGAATCATAGTTAATTAATATATATTTTCACCTTTTTTGTCACTTAATCGTGATAAATTACTATTGTTTAATCTTTGTATATTGACAGATGATTTTTTTCTTTTTCAAAATATTTACCGCGATTGAGAACTTCTTTGTGGAACTATGTGTCCTTATTGAGTTCAATATTCTTCATTTTCAGGACTTGCACTTTAATTTTATAATTCAAACANAATAAAAGGACATCACAAAACTTACATAAATAATCAATTTTGTCATGTTAGTTGAATAATTATGTATTATGGTTTAAAAGTATTTAATGTGATGGTATCTTAAAGAACACTTCTTTGTGGATAATATTTTTTTGTGTATGTTCCCTCTTAATGCTTTGGTTACTCTGCCTTAGCGAGAACTCTTGTTGTCGATCTTGATATCCCTCTTGAAAGTGCAACATACAGTTGTTCGTGCAAGAAAACATATTGCGGTAAATATAGTCCAATATTTAGGATGTTTGTCCTTGTACTTTATTTATTATATTTGCAAAACATAAACATACTAAAAATTATTTTCACACAAATTTAAAAAAATATTCCTTAGTTTCGAAAGACGAAAGTTGAATTGAGGGATAAGAATAACTTAGAAGCACATTGACCAATATCATATTTTTTGCATGTGTGATTTATTGTCAAAACTTCTATATACCATATGTGTGTTATTACATAAGCTATTCGGCGTATTTAAGCTTTTCAGTAGCATGACGGGCATATTTTTCTTCAAAATCAACCTATATACAATGGAAGATCAACTTAGTCTATTATATATACGGTGACATTAACATACGTAAGAAATAATAAACTTGACAACAAAAATATAGGGTAGAATGCCACTTAGTATTAAAGTATTTAAATATTCTTCTTGGTAGTAATTATTGGTATTATTTTCTGATGAGTCAAAAATAGAAAAATATTTTATTTTTACTATAAAATTGTGCAATCAATCTTTTATTTAGTTGATTAACATATTCATTTCTGCTAGCTAAGATATTTTTTTAATTCTATCATGCAATTTGCACAAATTGCGTTTTAATCTAATGATATAAATAATTTTCTTATTAAATGCACTACTATTACCATTGGGATTGATAACCAAGTGTTAGGAAGAACCAACTCATCTTTTATTGGATGCTCTTATTTGTTTCCAACACGAAACAAGAAGACACTGAATACTGGATTTGTTCTTACTTTATATTTCTTGTTAGTTGAATCTTTTTCATTTGAGGCCAGAAGTATAACTTTGGCAAGCTAGCTTTTACAGTCTCTGCTTTTGTCGATTTTGGAACTACTGGTAGTACTTGGCATAAATTACCTCCCAACCCATTAATTTTCACCAAATGGTTAATTAATATCCAATATATCTCTAGAACTCTGTTTGACACTTAGCCATAAGTGCTTCATCCCATATTATCAATTTTGCTTTCCTTATAAATTAGCATTATTGCTCTGCTTTGATATATTTGTGATGGCTATTTAAGTTGTTTGAAGAGGTATATCAAATCTAAAGTGGATGGCCTCACAATAAAATCGTTGTTGGTACACTACTTTCTATTATTGCTAATAGTATCATACCTCTTGATATGATATTTGCAAGTAATGTGTGTCATACAAATATTATTTCGATTCCGCCAGAGGCATCTACAAAGAATAATCCCGTTATAGGATAGTCGACTCTTTATAATATAGTCTTGAAAGCTTGTTCCTGTTTAGGATTTAACTTTGATTGTGCTTCCTCATACACTTGTATAACTTTTTGATTCTTAATAATATATTAACCTTTTTACTTTGTGTTCTAACTCTCTTTTTATGGAATAAATTTATGTATCCTAAGATATTTTTTTAACTTGAATACGAATTTTACTCATATGATAAATTTAAAAAATAATTAAACTAGATTCTCTTGCTAAATAATCGTAATGACCCGGCCGGTCATTTTGAGAGTTATAACTCCGATCCCCTATTTACCGCTTTTTCCGTATCTGTTTCAGCTCATGTGACTTGTCAGGAGGTTTTATTTTTGGATTTGAAGTGTTTTGAGACACTTAGTCCCTAAACGGAAGCTTAAGCCTTAGGATTTTAACCGTAGTTGAAACTGTATGAAGAAAACTCCGGAATGGAGTTCCGTCAGTTCCATTAGGTCCGTTGGGTGATTTTGGACTTAGGGGTATGCTCGGATTGTGTTTTGGAGGTCTGTAGCTGATTTAGGCTTGAAATGGCGAAAGTTAATTTTTTGGAGATTTTGACTGAAAGTGGACTTTTTGATATCGGGGTCGGATTTCGATTCCAGAAGTTGAAGTAGGTTCGTAATGTTGAATATGACTTGTGTACAAAATTTGAAGTTATTCGGACGTGGTTTGGTAGGTTTCGGCATCGGTTGTAGAAATTTAAAGTTTCAAGTTCATTAAGTTTGAATTGGAGGGTGATTCGTGTTTTTAGCGTTGTTTGATGTAATTTGAGGGCTCGACTAAGTTCGTATGGTATTTTAGAACTTGTTGGTATGTTTGATTGAGATACCCGGGGCCTCGGGCGAGTTTTGGATGCTTAACGGATCAAAAATTTGGACTTATGTAATTGTTGAAGCTTTCAATCTTCTCGTGTAATCGCACATGCGGTGGGGTGGCGGAAGGTGCGGACTCGCACGTGCGAGAGGCCAAGCTCAGAAGCGAGATTGGGGAGATGGACAAGGATAGTAGGTGCGAGGGAATTTCCGCATCTGCGAGCCCGCGGATGCTTTTGAAGTTTCGCAGATGCAGAGAGTGAGCTAGAAGAGAGACCGCAGAAGCGGACATGATTCCGCAGGCGCGCACTCGCAGGTGCGGCCCTTTCATCGTAGGTGCGGAGGCAGAGGGGAGTAAGTGGTTTGTGTAGAAGCGCTCATTTTTTTGCACAAGCGGATGTGCAGGTGCGAGCCCAGGCTCCACAGGTGCGGAAATGCCAGGACAGAACCTACTTAAGCGAGACTTCGAGATTTTGGCCATTTTCATCATTTTGAGCTCGGGTTTGGCGATTTCTTGAGAGCATTTTCGAGGGATTTCGTGAGGTAAGTCCCTTGCGCTTATTTTTGATCAATAATCTTGCTTCCCCATTTATTTTTCCACCTAGTTAATGTATATTTAAGGTGAAATTTGGGGGGTTTGAGGCTAGGGATTTGAAGAGTTTGATTTTGGGTTTTGAGCGGTCATTTGAGGTCGGATTTTGATAAAATTGGTATAGTTGGACTCGTGAGTGAATGGGCTTTCGAATTTTGTAATTTTTGCCTGATTCTGAGACGTGGGACCCGGTCGACCTTTTAGGGCGAATTTCGGAATTTTTGTTAAAGTTTTGATTTCATTAATTAGATTAGTCTATTATAGTTGTATTTATGATATGCAATTATTTTTTGCTAGATTTCGGCCATTCGGAGTCGGATAATCAAGGAAAATAATATTGTTACGGATTGATTTGAGCTTGGTTCGAGGTAAGTGGCTTGCCTAACCTTGTGTGGGGGAAATCCCCATAGGATTTGGTGTTGTTATGATATGTGAGCGTCGTGTACGCGAGGTGACGAGTGCGTACATTGCTATTTGTGTAAAACCCTGATTTTTATTGAGTAATAGCCTGTTTTCATCTTATCTGAGTATATAGCATGTGTAGTTATCATGTTAGCCTAGAATAGCATGTCTACGTGTCCTAATTACCTATTTGAACTCTTTGCAGCATGTTTAGTATGTCTTGTTTCTTTCTTGACTTGTACTTAGTCTAAATTGTAGGTTTTCTTACTGTAACTGTTATATTTATTTGTTTGAGTTGCGTATTTATTTTGGAACTACGGGACGGTATCCCGGGAGATCCTCCTGTACTGCATATTTATTTTGGGACTACGAGGAATTTACTTGGGAGATCCCTCTGTACTGCATATTTACTTTGAGACTACGAGGCGGTTCCTCGGGAGTTCTCCCTTCACATTTACATTTGAGACTACGAGGCGGTTCCTCGGGAGTTCTTCCTGCACATTTACTTTTAAGACTACGAGGCATTCCTCGAGAGTTCTCCATGCATATTTACTTTTGAAACTACGAGGCGGTACCTTGGGAGTTCTCCCTTTATATTTACTTTTGGGACTACGAGACGGTATCTCAGGAGCGCCCCTGTTGTTATATCATTGTGCGGTGTTGTTATTGCTTTGTGAATACTTGTTATTGTCTTCTCCGTTTTTACTTCATGTTTATTATAGCATCTGTATTATTTATCACGACTCAATTTCATCTATAGGTCGTGATGGCGCCCAACACTACATCTAGGC